ATAGATCTTATTTGGGGGGAGCCCGAGCATACTTGAAGGGGCAAATAATTAGAATGGTCTTGTATTGACTAGATGGAAACGAGTATGGTAGTGGCATGAAGCGTGGGCTTAAGACACCACCACTCACAGTTGTTCCTCGAATGCTGTTGTGTCAGCAATACCTTCGGGACGAGATTTGTACTAGATGAAGCATATGGAACAGGAGAAGCACGAGTCCTTCTCTTTCCTATGTGGTGTTCGCGTTTAGAAACGGGTTCTGGCTTCTGATAAGAAAATGATTAATGTGACATTCCGTCACCGGAGTCGTAAGGCGCGATTCGCATCCTGAGAGGGGGTGTTTGTCCTCCAAGTTGTGGTTTACTGATTGACTCACTGATAAGGAGACTCAGGCAACAACAGTACTAGGTCGGTGCTCGTTCACTTCATAACAAGCCCTGCGCAGAAGTCAACTTTCCTAAGATCGTCCTATATGGTGAGACGAAATTTAGATGTTAGTGGGCTGGCAATATTGCGGGAGCTAGGTCAATGTTACCGTGGATAAGTCAAGGATGTCCGTTACGTGGAACTCCATCGATTCAAAGAAGAGGGACTAACGAGCTCCTTTTTCGGAAGTCTTTTTTTTTATCGAAAAGAGCGCATCACCGATAGCCGGAAAAAAGAGGTGGTTTGTTCTTTGACAACAACAAGCAACTAATACGAGGAAAAGTCATACGCCTACAAGGAAAAGTCACCAGGATGGGTAGTTGATCTGTTGGAAGACACGACCGTCGCTCTAAAGCCAATTGATGAGAATAGTAACGCTGAGAATAGTAATGGAGGGTCGTATCGGAGAACCTAGTACTCCTTTTACCAACTGCTCCTTTCATCACACCTATTCGAATCACTACAATGCCTTGGCACTACGTCATTCGGGAAAGAAAAGGTAGATCCCTTTTCAGACTTTGGGACACCCACCTTAACGGCAGCAAAATTCCCTATGAGTTTCTGCCAATGTTCAAAGTTAATTTGATTTATTTCATTGATTTAGAGTCAGGCCGTAGTGCCTCGCCACATAGGGCGAGCACGAGGGTGCGATAATGAGCGGCAGTTGTGGAATAGAGAAGTAAGTTCGCGTATTGGAAGCCTTTATTCAGAATAATTTAAATTTCTGCGGAATTTTACTAAAGTCTTCGTGTAGGATTTTAAACTTTCATAAATATTGTGCTTTTTACGACAAAAGCGACGAAATTCTCTCTGAATAGGGAATTTGCGTTTCTTTCGAGTAGTAAGTAAGTGATAGGTAACCGAGGGTTATAGACGAGCAAATTCAAAGAGATCAAAAAGCAAGTTGAACTCCTAGTTTTCTATGAGCCATTTGTCGCCTAACAGGTGTTATCAGTTATCTCCCTCAATTAATGTGATAAGCCCTTAATTGCTGATAGTCATTACCTAGTTAGGTCCTGCTGCCGATCTATTTATATTTACATGAAGCCCTGATTCGAGAGAGTGCATTCTATGGATGCTGCTCTTCTTCCCCATTGTGCCAATGAAATTGTATTCTTGTTTAGGTGCGTAAAGGGCGAAGGTGAAACCTTTCCCAATTGGAATTTGTGACAAACTTTCTAATTTTCGTGAAGCAGTTATTGAATGAAGGCGAGAGAGAAACAGTGGAATTGTTGAGATTCCTGCACAACTCTGAGAGGGTAGTCATTCATACACTGGGGTAAGAGGAACCAGTTTACACAGGATCGGTGGGGAGTAGTGTTTGAGATGAGTGGTTTGAGTTGGTGAAAACTCGTAGAGGAGAGGGTAAGACTAGAGAAAAACGAAGCCTTTCCACTGTTATCTTTAACACTTTTTGTTACTTGATTTTTTGGCAATTCCTATGGTCTCCTTTCAGCCCGTCACTCTACAAGAACAAGCGTGCATCTAAAGGCGAAGCTTATGAGCCGACAACCTACGAGCATTGGGCAAATACGATATCACACGCCGTATGTCATCAAGATGTATAATGTCCTTCATAAAGTCTGTCCAACAAGTCTTTCTTCAGATAGGAATAGTGCCTAGTGTGGTTGTGTTCTGGCACATGGTGACAATAGCTCACCGTGAGTTACAATTCTACCTGATGATCATATATGGCTTGTTCACCACGTTGCTGTTCTCGTCTTCCACATGCTACCACGTTTGCGAGCTGAAATTCAGACAAAAACGGGCGTAAGTATCTTCGTGCACATTTTCATCACTGAGAACTTGCTCTTTACGCATGAATACTTCAGGCAGACGCGGTTGCGGTATTACCTTCACATATGTGATCGTGCCGCTATTTACCTCTTCATAGCCGCATCATACACGCCATGGCTAACGCTGCGACATTGTGGCTATCCCGGTCTGAATCTCAAGTGGATGATCTGGGTGTTCGCTTTTCTTGGTATACTATATCAGTACAACTTCCATGAAAGGTATGTCAGTCCATTGGGAGCGAATGTTTCATTGAAACAATCATATTTGCAGGTTCAAAACATTGGAAACATTACTTTATATATTTATTGCTGGTGCTCCATCCGTTGCTATTTTCACTATGGTGAGCATTGTCTTGCTTTCTATTATGCTCGGCAACACAGGAACTTTCGAGTTGTTGATGAGTTCAAAGGCAATTCAACCCATGACATCCAAATTTTTCTTTCTAGAATGACCGTACGGGCTTGGAGTGGATGATTGTCGGAGGTATAGTCTATATTACTGGTGTGGTATTTTTTAAAATGGACGGAATTATACCATTTGCTCATGCGATTTGGCATGTCTTTGTTCTCATTGGTGAGCCCGGCTATCTTCTTGTTGATTGAGTGTTCACTACTATACTTTTGTTTTTCTTTGAGGTGCTTCTTGCCATACTTACGCCGTATACTCCACTTTGCTTGGTCCGGACCCTAATAATCCAGTTCCCAATTTGTCGCACGTGGAGCTGTAGTATTAGTACATGCAAAAAAGGCATCATCAGATGCCGGCGTTGCGATGTTTCCCGCCAGCAGCAACGCCTTCAAGACAATTTTGTCCAAACTTAATAGTTTTTATCGAAATCTGAGTATTATTTTCTTAGCTCATCAGCGTTAGGATAGTCTATTTTGTTTGTACATTGTTCATTCTTCTTAGGATCAAGTGATTGATTGACACCAAAGACAAATCCAAAGAATTTTACAGACGAGCTCTTTCGCAA